TTAATTGCTCCTGATCGGTTGTGGCGTGTAGTGGCTGAGCACGCGAGTTGATGTTAGTGTTCGAGGATTTCTCTCTGGTAGTGGGTGTTGCTCCTGTTGGTCGGGGTGGTGTCTGTGTGCTGGTGTCGGTGGTTGTCTTCTTGAGAGGTTCGAGGTCTGAGGTAGGATGGTGGTTTGGAGATATTTGTATAGGCGGAGGGGATGTGTTGGCTAGAGGATGAAGTTTGTTGCTTGATTCGAGGGTTAGTTTCAGCTCGTTATATATGACCTCCCATATGCAGTAGTTGATATGTAGTCGCTGTCTTTCTTGGAGAGGTTCACACTGGAGGCTTCTTATATATATAAATGCTTAACAAGCAAAGCAGCAGGCTATATTGCTGAAAAGTACATTTAGTTTATAGTAAAAGCCAGTTCGGGCCAGTTGGAGTGGAGTAATGCTATTAAATATTTATTTTTTAGGACAACTGAGCTCGCATTTTTATAGTAGAAGAGAAGATTATAATGAACTGTTTTTCTTGGGATAAGGTAGGTGTTTTAAATAGAGTAGCAGGGTTTGCGGGTTTCGTAGTAGAGGAAGGGTAGCAGCGCGTAGATTAAAGAAATTTATTATTTATTTTAAAGTCTTCTTTTTTAATCCTCCTGTAGTTCTGCAGTTTATTTCTTATAGATATTAACAGGTATCCAGTTTATATAATACACCAATTTACAGTAGTTTTTGAAATCAGTTTGACCCCAAACTCTTTCGATTTATTTCTTGGAAAAAAATTCTGAAATATACTAATTCTGCTTAATATTACTGTTTGATTAGTTAAGTAAAAAAGAGATATGGTAATAATAATATCAAATTTTTAATATATATTATAATAAATCGTAATAATACATCAAATCTTATAGAATTACTTAGTAAATCTGGTGATCTGATAAGATTATCTATTTACTTTTTATTTTGTACTAGTTCTAGTTTTGGATTATTATTCCCTCCTCTTTTTTCCTGTACTCTAGTAGGGAATCTTCACAACAGGACAACAGTCAAATAATATCTAATAAATTTAAGAAGAATATTATTTAAGAGTATTTTTTACAGGAAATATAATAATATAATCTATATTCTTTTAATTAATTATTCTGTAGAATTATAAATTTATAGAAATAATAATATTTTTTAAAATATAATTAACATATGTAAGGGAAATTTAATTAGATTAATATATATAATAAAATTTTAAATTAAATCAATATATTTTTCTACAGATTCTAAACCTAATTAAGTCTATGGATATTATGAAAATAAATGTTATAATAATAAGTATCGTCCTCATAAATATTATATAAAATAATATATCAATATTTTATCATAAATCTTAAGAATCTTATATATTCTATAATTTAAGAAAGTTTAAATCATATATACTTCTGATTTAATATTATTTATTATATTTAAATTATATATTTTCAAGAAATATTTCTTTTTAAAAACTATTAATATATAATAATCTATATATATATATATATTTATAATTAGTTATAAGAATACAGAGGTTATATTTTGAATAATAAATTATGAAAATAATAATAATATAAAAATAAAATAAAATAATTAAAAAATAATATTATTTTAATATATTTAAAGCTTTCTAGTAGGGAAATCCTCACAACAGGACAACATTTAGCTGATATCTGATAAGTTTATAAGTAATATTATTTAATAGAACCTTTTATAAGAAATATAATTAAATAACTTTCATCCTTTTAATGAATTATTCTATAAAATCATAAGTATTTAAAGCTAGCAGTATTTTCTTTGAAATATAATTAATATATATAACAGAAATTTAATCAGATTAATATATATAATAAAAAAAATTAAATTAATACTTTTTCCCACAGACTCTAAGCTTAATTAAGTTTATTAAATATAATAAAAATAAGTATTATAATATTAAATATTACTCTAAATTTTAATAAACATTATATAAAATACTATATTAATATTTTTATTATAAATTCTAAGAAATCTATATATTCTATAATCTAGAAAGCTTAAATTATATATATTCTTTATTTAATATTATTTATTATATTTTAATTATATATTTTAAGAAGTAGTTCTTTTTATAAAAATATTAATATATAATAGTTTATATATGTATTTACAGTTAATTATAAGAAAGTAGAGATCATATTCTGAATACTAAATTATAAAAATAATAAAAATATAAAAATAAAATAAAATAATCAAAATATAATATTATATTAATATATTTAAATCTCCCCGATTTTGCTGAGCCAGTGGATAATAAAAAAGTAAAATTATAATTAATAAATTTATTATAATTCTTATATTTCATTAATGTTTTTTCTATAAAAAATAAAGGAATCAGTAAATAAGCTGGTATCATATTTATTTATAATATTATTTTTTTAATATATTTTATCTTCTTGTCTCTCTGTATAACTAGTAAGATAAAAAAATTACAAAAAAAAGAAAAAAAATAATTTGATTATTATACTTAAAATGTTATGATTTTTCAGGATATAGATTATAAAATAGATAATAAAATTCCTGTAATACTAGAAAATTTTATATCTAAAGATCTTTCATTTATTTAATATATTTTATTAGCTTGTCTCTCTACAAAATTATTAAGTTTATATTTTAATACTTATTTTTAAATCTCTGTCATTTCTATAGAACATAAATAATACAAAAATAATAATATTTTCATAATACTAGAAGCTTTCTATCTGTTTAATATACTTGATTAGTTTATTTTTTTTATAGAACTAGTAATCTTATATTTTGATGATTATCAATAAATTTCTGTAATTTCTATAGAAAATAAATAGTAAAGTAGGTAGCAGTACTTCTATAATATCAAAAAACTTTTTTATTTCTATAATTCCTGTAGACAATAAATAATTAAACAGGTAATAATATTTCTATAATACTGGAAGCTTTTCTTTTATTTTTATAATTTTCAAAGAAATAGATTATTAAATAGATAATAATATTTCTGTAATACTAGCAATCCTTTTCTTAATCTTATAATTTCTGTAGAAAATGGATAATTAAGCAGGTAGTAGTATTCTGATAATATTAGAAACTTTTATATTTAGAGATTCTTATCTATTTAATATATTTTATTAATTCATTTCTCTGTAGGACGAGTGAGCTTATATTATAATAATTATCTTTAAATCTCTATAATTTCTATCAAATATAGATAATTAAGTAAGTAATAGTATTTTTCTAATATTAAAAGTCTTTTTCCTATCTCTGTAATTTCTGTAGAGAATAGATAATTAAATAATAATATTTTTATGATACTGGAAGTCTTTTATTTGCTTAATATACTTTATTAATTTATTTGTTTATAAGAATATTAAGCTTGTATTTTCATAATTATTTTTAAATTTCTATAGTTCCTGTAAAGAATAGATAATTGAATAGATAACAGTATTTCTATAATACTATAAGTTCTTTATTTTCTTAGTATACTTTGTTAACTTATCTCTCTGTAAGACTGATAAACTTATATTATAATAATTATCTTTTAATCTTAATAATTTTCATAGAAAATAAATAATTAAATAAAGATTAGAAAATGAGTAAATATTATATTTTTTTATAATACTGTTCTTTTTAATATATCAATAATATATCTTATTTTCTTGTCTCTCTATACAGCTAGTAAGATAAAAAGAGAAAGAAATTATAAAAAAAAGAAAAAAAAATATAATTTTATTATTATAATTAAAGTTTTATAATTCCTGCAGGGAATAGATAGTTAAACAGATAATAAAATTTTATAATATTTTTTCAGCTTATTTTTTATAAAGCTACTAAGCTTATATTTTAATAATTTTTTTAAATCTCTGTAATTTTTATAAGAAATAGATAATAAAATAAATAATAATATAATATATAACTGTTCTGGACATCATAATAATAATTTGAAATCATATTAAATAATACTTTGGTTTTGTCTGAGTGCTGTTCTTATCAGTACTTTCTGCCTGGCGAGTCCGCCTTTGCTAATAGGTTAACTAGCAGGGGTCTGTAACAAAAATCATGAAAATTAGATGAAAATATAGAGAAAGCAGATTGGAAATCTAGAAATTTGGCTCTATTCTATATACTGCAATTAAATAGATTCAGCATGGTTGGGGTAGTTACCATTACCATGATTATCTCTAATAAAATCGTCTTGGCACGAGCTGAGCCGGGCGATCCCGGTGTGATAGGATCTACTTGTCAGGGTAGAAAGCCTGTCGACTAGGTAGAGAATCAGCCACTAAACACCATATATTTGTATAATAATGACAAAGGTAGCCTGTATCCACGAGATAGACTGATTCTTGAGAGATCAGTAGCTTAGTACAGAGGAATCAGCATCTTTTTATAAATATTAGAAAGATGTAGAATCACTATCGATGACCTCATGACTCTTATAACTACTATAATATGTCATCCCGATGGCCTTGACCTTGATAGCTGGGTTATTCTACCACACCCGGGTCTTTCAGGCGAGCCCTGCCATGTCTAGGATACACTGAACAGATACACTGAACAGTTAATCTAGAAATAAATAGGCTAGAGACGAAAAGAAAAGTATCTGCAACTGCTAAAACTGTAGGAAATAGTAACGAATTTAGCATAAATGACACTAATGGAAACTAATATCAGTATAAAAAGATTGATTAGCATATTACTCAATAGCAAGTCTTCCATCAAGGGCATGTTGAAATACCCTACTGTCCAGGCATTGAATATGCTACCACTCGGTGGTTGCAACACCAGAGTTGTGAACTCAAACATAAATACATACAAAAAAAAAATCGGTCTTCTGTGTGGCTAATTGGTTGCTAGCTGTAATACCGCTCCACACTTTAAGACAAAGCTCCTTTGAGCCCCTTGATCCCTCCTAAAAAGAATGATATTCGACTATGCCGAAATAGAATAATAGAAAGGCCCTTAATGCTGCATTCTCCTCGTGTGTTTAAACCTGCGCAATGATATTACTGGTGAGCCTGTCTAGCCCAAGGAGCTTGTTCTTATCTGCCCGAACGTTCAATTCTGAGATAACCCCATAAGGCGTTTGCTCCTTTAGTGTCGCATCACTAAGCAATGAACATGCAAGCCCAGTTACGTGAGGAGTTGCTGAAACGAATGTATTAGGAAAATGTATATAATAACACAAGACTACTTACCCATGGATGTGCCACTTATGGTTTCTTTGGCAGTAGTGCTGCCTATCCAAGCTGAGGTAATGTCTGTTCCAGGACCGAATGCATCTACAACTACGTTAGGTTAGCTTTTATGCTTTATTTCTTACAGATGAAATGAAGAACATACGTCTGCCATAATTCGAGAAATCTGAAATCTCGTCTGTTTTATCCATGGAGCCCACGGTAATTGCAAGGGGCTCAGATGCAGGGCAAAAGTTGTCAGCTGGCGCCTTTTGATAGGAAGTTTGGTTAGTTGTAAATGTTCAAGGTGAGTGCTGGGGAAACTTGCCATATCATTCCCCGCTGCAACACAAACCGGAACTCCACTCCTCACGGTCGCAGCCACTGCAGCATTGAGAGATGGATTTGTGCCAGGTCCCCCGAGGCTCATGTTGACAACACCTGTCTTACCGCGGACCTGGGCATCAGAAGAAACCCATTCCAGTGCTTTTATAATATCGTCGTTTCGGGCCCTTTCTGTGATATCGGAGAAGACTTTGATTGAAATTATCTCTGTCTTCTTAGCTACACCATACTCCTTGCCGCCAACGGTGCCAGCAACATGAGTACCATGCCCCATAACGTCGTCATCACTCGCCGGGGGGTTGGAAGTGACGAACTTGGGCCCTCGGGAGGCTCGGTTTTCAAAATCAACATGTTCTTGATTAATGCCAGTATCGATGATATAGGCAACTGTATTTTGGCCTGCAGCCTCATCATTGTAAACATAACGGTACGGCTCATTTGGCTGAACCTTTCTAGGCTGAGAAATGCGCTCCAGTCCCCAAGGACTAGGGCGTTGTATTATCCTGTTGCAATGTTTGAGGAGACGAACAGGCTCAACAGAAATAACCTGCAGAGCGCACTTAGTGACAGTAACATATAATCACAATGTAATACACTACAAACCGTGTCCATTTTTTCAATGCCCTCCTTTGTGTCCAGGTCGAATTCGCCTGAGAAGCCACGGCACTCAGGCAGGTTGAACTTTTGTTTAACCTCAACATAGAATGGTTTGCTAGGATCTTGGGTCATAGTTTGCACAGTTTCAGTGACAGAAGCCAATCCGTCTTCCGACACATACGGTTTAAGAAGTACAACCCAAGACCCAGGGACAGTGTCACTAGTAGCCATGGTATATGGCTGATTGAATAATTAAAGGGGTGGAAGATATGTAGATGTGAGTGGGCTTGCAAGTGCCTTGGTTGGTTTGGGATGTAGGTTGTGGTTCTTCTAAATTGGACATAGATTTAATCTTTTTGAGCAGGAAGCTGGTGACATTTATACACACCACTGATCTAGATTAGGATTGTCACATGAGTGACATTGTCTAGTATGTGAATGGAAATGATGTCATGGAAACTCTCTGCGAGCTGTGGTAAAAGCTAAAACTAAAATTATTCAGGCGCGCCGTGTGTATGAGACATCAGAACACTGGGATAACTCGAGCATTGTGTCATGCCCGTATTGGAACAGTCTGGTGATTACATTGTGATGTAGAGTAATAAAGGAATTCTATAGTTTTATGTTCCATCAGCCGTACCGAACATGCTTACAGTTTTGCAGAAGGTTTTCTTCACATCCTGTGGTTCAAGGATGCATCCTGCGTAATAGACTTCAGGCTCTGTAACGTTCCGAAGTCCCAGAGTTCAAGACAACACAAGTACATCTATATTGTCTAGACTCGCTCTATTTGCATGCGGTACTGTTCAAATGCCCGGTTGTAGTGTTCCATCCTGGATGCAATCGGATGCAAATGCCAGGTTGTATTCTAGCCAGCCAATCAGGATTTAGACTATAACTACACCCTAGGCCCGGTGGAAGTCCCATAGTCTATGGCTTGCGGAAGAGGGTAGGATCAGCTAAGCGTATAGTATCACCACTAACTGACTGCGTTAGTCGTATGCCGATAGATAATCAGGTTTCAATCTATGATTCTTGAGCCGTAGTGCGTGGGACGCAGTTAGACCCTGAAGGTGATCATAAGAACTAGTTCTACGCTTCGGCAGAAACAACAAAGAAAGTAGGAAACAAAGGAAGAGCGCCATTCTGGGCTATCTCGTCAACTGTTCCGAGTCCAGATATCGATTTCTCCTTGGGCCACAAGTTTACCTTTTCTCCGAATCCTTGTTCTCACGTATTTAAGGCCATCCGTTTGCGGTAATTGGTGATACTTTCAAGGTCCTTTGTTTGGCCCAAGACTGATATGGCGTGAAAAATACGAACCAGCACCAGTGTTTATAAACGAACTGTACGTCACTATTCAGTTGATGGGGGCCCATCTAGGCTCGGAATTGATAAACTTGGGCAGTTCGGATCCGCGAATACTCTGTACATTTCCTGATGTGGTAACTCGTTACCGAACTGCGACATTTGCTCCCTTGAACTCCATGACTTTGGTGGTCACCATTATCTCGGATTGCTCAACACTACATATACATAGATGTCATGTTCCACTTAGCCTTTTAGGCATGACCAGAACAACACCAGCATGGTTACAGGAAACTTGATGATGTGACGACGTTAGGTCCTCTTATCTATGTAGAGGAGGCTACGGAATGGTACTGACTCATCAGTATATGTTGGTTGATAAAGTCGCCACGCGCTGTGGTGGGTCTGGGATCAATAGTACATGGAGGTTTTGGGTCCGTTAGATATTAGGGAGGGCCTCCGTTCCTGCCTTTGGTTTCATGATTTTCACCTGTAGTAGACGGATATTCGTAGATCTCATGGTAAGGTGAGGTTAGGTGATTGACACCTCTGATCTCCGGTAGAAGAAATTAGCTATTTTCTAGACTCCACTATTAAAGTTGCATTTCAAGCAGGAATTACTATCATTATAGCAGCGGATAGCAGTAGTATCAATGAAGTTTTCTCTTCTAATGTTGGATTGGGTCGGGTCTGAGCAAGGATTCCAAACCCAACAAGCCGCCCGACCTGAATACAGTCGCTGGATTGGGTCAGGTTGGGGCTAGTTCATAGACCCAACAACCCGCCCCAACAAAACGGTCCAATCCAACACTATTCTCTTCTGATACTTGTGTTATTCATTTACTCCTGCTCCCTACATTGATCATCAATACGCATCTACTTTATTATCTAACTAACTTATGCTAGCAAAATGCTAGTCATCTTTTCCCAGTCTGCTTTCTAAGTTTCGGATTTTCTAGCCACTAGGGCAATTGATTAGACAGATATAACATCCCAATAATTAATCAATGCCATTGTAAGATTCTATATTTTTAAAAAAACTTGGTATTTTCTAGTCTGACAGTCTCAAGTCCTCAAATTCAAGGTACCCAGAATAAATATTATTTTCTGCAGTGTCAACAACACAGATACTAAGGCAACTTTAAGCAGAACTTAATGGTCAGGTTTTAATATCTTCTTTGACTTAGACTTGTCTCTATAGAATTATACTAAACTTTTTATATATAGCAGGGCTGGCTTCCTGTCTATGCCAGGATTCTTAATATAATGACTTTCAAAAGCTGACATGTGAACTACCCCTTCGTGCAGAAGTAGGTTGCAAGCTTTATACTGGATATAAACTAGAACCCCTCAATTTGTTGATGTCAATAACCATAATTAGCCCTCTACCTACCTGACCTACGGTATGGTAGTAATCACGGTATATGGCTAACCAGGAGGCCAGTGGGATTTAATAGAAACAAGAGATATCTTACTGGTGACATGCTCGTATTTCCTCTGATACTATTATAGCTACTCCACATTAGTACTAACCAATTCTCATAATATATATCTAGTACCTAAGAACTAGGCAGCTGAAAAAGCCATTACAACATTGCGCCAAACCGTGATTGAATCCAATAATTGTTGATATGAATTAATTGAATTGACTATACATGGTTCGTTGACTTCTTCAGAGGAGGAGCTATCTTCGCTCTATTATTTGGTCCCTAATGTCCCAACCCAAGCAATCCCACCCAGTCTAGTTTGAAGAATCCTTCGCCTTCCTTTTCTAAGTTGTATTATTTGCTGCATGCAACAGGTTATCGGCAAGTGTCTGGCTGCTTCTTCCTATGAACGCCTAACAACATCAGAAATCCCTTGTTGACTTCAAGTTCTGTCACAGGCCTTGGAACCGCGTTGTGTTAGAAGCTAATACGATCTACTGAATTGTTTTGTTCCCTGGTTGCTAGACGCGGTTGACAGAAGTTTATCTCAGTGAACCACGAAGCCTTAATCGCAGTAGATTGGCTGTGGACTTGACTAGATTGTGAACTTTAATATTTTGAATGGCCGTGTGACCTGTCATTCCGTATATCTCTATTGAAAATCACCGTTTGCGGTCACTCGCAGCAAGTATGCTATAGCCTATGATAGATCTAGAACTTTTTATTGACAGCATTATGGCTTCTCATCCACCCGCCCCCGCTTTTCTCGAAGTTTAGTCACTGACGGCTATGGTACTGGTGCACACCGAACTCCCCTATAGGGCCTTAAAGATACATGAAGTCCTGTATAGGCGCATCTATCTACCACTGAAAATCACCAGCGATGGCAGGAGTATTCTAGCCCCATTTCCAGATTTGGCACAGACTTCAGGATGTCATAAGCCAAGACAAATTAGAGGGATGGATGAAATCATTACAAAACACCCATAGCCAAGGGTCCAGAACTTCTACTTACACTAAGTCTGATTGCGACATGATGACAATATAGATTTCAGACCAGAAATTCTGATCTCTTCTATATATAAGGCGGTAACTACTCGGGAACAATACTAAAAGATCAGTATAATGACCTGAGATACACGACCTGTGAACTGATACCAGAGGTTAGTCACTGGCATGGTCTCAAAGATCTAAGGACAATACTATGGAAAGTCAGCTTCACAAGAATCTTTTGTAAGGTAATACAATTGGCGAAGTAAGTACTATATCATCTCAATCCCTCTTTCACATAGTGGATTCCTGCTGATACGCAGAAGCAGAATTACTGTTCAAATCACATCAGATCGCGAGTTAAATCAATGAGATATGGCAATTTATCAGACTGCCAGAAATTGGTTATTGCTCCTAGCCTCAGTGCAAGCAATGCCAAATAACCAACAAAATCAAGCTGTCACAGAATATCAAGAGTTTATGGAGAACACCCCACAGAATGTCCAAGACTGTTGCAATGGCTGGTGCTCTGGACCTCATTGCTTTTATTCAAATTGTAACCCATGGACGCGCAAGTATAGTACTGAAGAGTCTTGTCCTGGTGACTATTCTATTTGTTCTAGTACTCCGGTCTGTCAAGGGGGACCTGGATTTCTCTGCAAGGGTTCTAATATGGTAATATGTCCGGGAAATATGTACTATAGTACCCAGAGTTGTTGTATCAGTGTGGGCTGTGGACCAAATTGCTAAGATCATTAATATAAAATAAGTATTAATGATCACGTTGAATCTTGTTTATCTGAAGCTGCTCTAGAAAATGTATGTTAATATTGAAAAGCACTTATTAAACCTCAGTGCTCTTACTTATTAATGAGGCATCAGTCCCTTAAAAACGCAAATCATCCAGTATTTCAGTCCAACTTTAGTTCTACAAGGAAAGAAAAGATGGAATATGAAGTATCAGAGACATCTTGTATTATTATAAGAAAAGTACAGTATTTCTAGTAGAGAAATCTTCACAACAGGATAACAGCTAAATGATATCTGATAAGTCTATAAATAATATTATTTCTAGTAGGGAAATCTTTACAACGGGACAACAGCCAAATGATGTCCAATAGGTTTATAAGTAGTATTATTCGATAGAGCTCTTTACAGAGATTATAATAATATAATTTTTATTTCTTTAATTAATTGTTCTGTGGAGTTATAAGTATTTGAAGATAGCAGTATTTCCTTTTAAATATAATTAGCGCATGTAATGGAAATTTAAATCAGATTAATATTCTTTTCTACAGACTTTAAGCTTAATTAAGTCTATTAAGTATTATAAAAATAAATATTATAATAATAAGTGTTACCCCAATAAGCGTTATATAAAGTAATATATTAATTTTTTATAATAAATTCTAAGAATTCTATATATTTTATAATCTAAAAAACTCAAATTATATATACTTCTTATCTAATATTAAGACGCGATATTACTAGTAAAATAATAAAATAAATAAAAAGTAAGCAAAATAAATAAATAAAAATATAAATTATAATAAAAAAATAAATTATATTAGTAACTATCTAAATACTTTAATAAAATAAAATAAGAGATTATTTATAAGCAGTCTGAGTATCTAATATATAATTATATTTATTTTAATAATTATCTTAATATTTAGTTTTATTTACTTTATCTAGATTATATATTTTCAAGATGTATTTTTTTCTATAAGAATATTAATATATAATAATATATATATATATATTTACAGTTACTTATAAGAAAGCAGAGGTTATGTATTAAATAATAAATAATAAAAATAATAATAATATTAAAGTAAGATAAAATAATTAAAAAAATAATATTATATTAATATATTTAGACCTGCGCGATCCCGCCGAGCCAGCAGATAATAAAAGAAAACAGTATTATAATTAATAATTTTATTAAAATTATTATATATAGATAGTATTATTTCTGTAAGAGATATAATAAAAATTAATAAATAAATTAATATTATATTTATTTATAATATTATTTTTTCTAGTATATCTTGTTCTCTCGCCCCTCTGTGTAGCTGGTGAGATAGATAGAAAAAGAAATTATAAAAAGAAAAATAATTTTATTATTATATTTTAATCTCTACAATCCCACTGAGTTAATAAATAATAAAATAAATAATAATATATTTATAGTAATAAAAATCCTTTTCTTACTTCTATAATTATTGCAGGGAACGGATAGTAAAATAAGAATTAAAAAATAAATAAATATTATATTTATTTATAATATTATCTTTTTTTAATATATCTTGTTCTCTCACCCCTCCGTACGGCTGGTGAGGTAGAAGGAAAAAAGATTATAAAAAAAATATATATATAAATTAATTTTATTATTATATTAAAACTTCCATAATTTCTGCAGGATATTAATAGTAAAGTAGATAATAATATTTTTCTAATATTAGAAATCTTTATATTTAGAGATCTTCCAGCTGCTTGGTATATTTTATTAATTTATTTTTTTACGAGACTACTGAGCTTACATTCTAATAATTGTTTTTAAATCTTTATAATTTCTGCAGGAAACGGATGGTCGAATAGAACTTAGAAAATAAATATATATTATATTTATTTATAATATTATTATTTTTAGTATATCTTATTCTCTCGCCCCTCCGTACGGCTGGTGAGATAGAAGGGAGAGAAATTATAAAAAAAATAAAAAAAAATAATTTTATTCTTATATTTAAACTTTTGTAATTCCTGCAGAATATTAATAATAAAATAAATAATAATATTCTTACAGTATTTAAATTCCTCCTCAGAAAATAGATAATAGAGCAGGTAGTAATATTTTTATATTACTAGAATTTTTTCTCAGAGAACAGATAATAGAGCAGGTAACAGTATTCTTATAATATTTAAAGTTATTTATCTTTTTAATATATTTTATTAACTTATCTCTTTACGGGGCTGCTGAATTTATATTTTAATAATTATCTTTAAATCTCTATGATTTTTACACGAAACGGATGGTCCAACAGGACTTAAAAAATAAATAAATATTATATTTATTTATAATATTATTTTTTTTAGTATATCTTATCCTCTCGCCCCTCCATGCGGCTGGTGAGGTAGAAAGAAGAAAAGATTATAAAAAAAATTTATTATTATATTTAAACTTCCGCGATTTCTGCATGAAATAGATAATAGAATAGATAATAATATTTTTATAATATTAAAAACCTCTTTTTATTTAATATACTTTATTAATTTATCTTTCCGTGGGGCTACTGAGCTTATATTATAATAATTATTTTTAAATCTCCGCGACTTCTGTAAAGAATAAATAATAGAGCAGGTAATAATACTTTTTATAATATTATATATTATCTATTTTTCTAGTATACTTCATTATCTCATCTCCCCATGCAGCTGGTAAGATACAGAGAAAAAAAAATAATAAAAAAAATAATAATTATTATTATATTTTTTAATTTTTTATATTTATTTTATATATTTATACTTGTTTTATCTAAAGTCAAAGGACTAAAAATTTATAAAATATTTAAAATATATAATTTTTTTAATTATTTTAAAAATACTTAATAATATTAAAAAAAATATATTTAATAAAAATAATAATTTTATGAAGATCTTGATTATGTATTAAAAAAATTATAATTAAAGATTCTATTCCTGAAATTATATAATATTTACTAAAAAAATTAATTCAGACTGAAAATATTCTTTAATATTAAAAAATAAATTAGAATGAATTTTTTATTTTTAATTATATAGTACAGGATTTTCTTGTAGTTTTTATTAATAAAATTAATATTAAATAACTTTTTAATTCTATTTAAAATATATATTATTATTATCAGGATTATTTCTTTCCAGGTATTATTAAAATATTAATTTTTTAAATATATAAGAAAAGATTTTAATTGTAAGATAAATTTAAATATATTTTAAATAATATAAGTTTAACTGATTTTTTAATTAATATTATATATATAGAGATACCAGCTGTAGAGAATAAAAATCTTAAATTTTCTGATTATAAAATAAATAATATTAATAAATTTTATAATAATATTAATCCTGATGATATTCTTGGTAATAATAATAATAATAATAATAATAAAAATATATAAATTATTAATAATAAATTAAATTTAATTTTTATATCTTCTTTATAAAAATTTTTTATATTCTTATAAATTTTATAAATACCAGCTCGATACTGACTTTATAATTATAACTATTAGATGAATTACCGCGAATAGTTTAGAATTTAATATATAAAATAAAACTAGAATTTTTTTATATTAAGTTAGAAAACTTTCTAATATCTTGATTTAGAGAAAAGTAATTAAACTTAATTAGAAAATATAATTTAATTTATATAAGAAAATATTATTATATATTAATTTAAAAAATATATTTTAACTTAAGTCAAAAAATATATTTTAAATACTATAAAAATTATAATAATATTATATATAATTTTAATTTTAGTAAGCCTGTTGAGCTTTTTTCTAATATAAAACTTAATTATAAAAGACTTACTTAATTTAATAAAAAGCTTAAATCTTAGTAAATAAGTTTTAAAAACTTAAAAACCTGCTTGTGAGCCTTATATAATCAGGCTCAGGGTTGTCTTGGCACGAGCCAAGCCGGGCGATCCTGAGCCTTCCGGGCGAGCTGTGATAGGATCTACTTGTCAGGGTAGAAAGCCTGTCGACTAGGTAAGGAATCAACCACTAAACACCATATATTCGTCTGATAATGACAAAGGTAGCCTATATCCACGAAATAGACTGATCCTTGAGGGATCAGTAGCTCATTACAGAGGAATCGGTACCTTATAGGTGCCGGAGAGGTATGGAACCACTATCGATGACCTCACGACTCTCACAACCACTATAATACGTCATCCCGATGACTTTTATCCCGATAGCTAGGTTATTCTATCACACGAGCCTTGCCATGTCTAAGCAAACATAATAAATATAATAAAAGATTTATTATTAATAAAAAATCTAATATTATCTGAAGCCCATACAGCATTAAAAATAGTAAGAGAAAA